ATTTTTTTATTAATCCACGAAATTAATTTAGAAGCAAAATACACGAGAACCGTGGAATTGATTTAGTGGTACTCTGTAATGTTCAAAAGTTATACTGAAAATGTCTTGAAGACGGTAGGTTTTAAACAGTCCAAATGATAGGAACTTCGGTTCTCTTGTCCAGCCAAAGATTATCGTGAATGATGGGAATTGTAGTGTTGCTGTAGCACTCCTAAAATCCTTTCTAAGGGCCATTGCCTGATGCCAGCTTCTAACCAGTCTTTCCACAGGGAGGAGCCCTTCCCCCAAATATCACATCCCGGGAATATTTAGGGAGACAGTGGAGGGGCTCAGCTATAGTTTGAACATGTGGTTTGGTTTTAAAATACTTTTTGTTTAGCAAGGATTGTCGATTCACGGTCTGCTCTTGTTTGTCGAAAAAACAGACTTGGAAAAAAACATTAGAACATTCATAGAACGATGAGAAAGAACCCAAAGGTTTTAAAAGAAAAAAATCTTTTAAAAATGTATTAAAGAGATGCTTTTCACTAGAAGCATATCTGGCTAACCGATTTTTTTTTTTTTAAATGCCAGCTTGATTTCACACACTTGTCGCTTGTTAGTGATAAGAAGCTGGTGAGATGTAAATTTGAACTGGGAGCTTCTAATGGAGAGATTTCATACCAGCAGCAACTGTTTACGGTGGAAGTTTAAATCATTTCACGGATCCAATTTTTCTCATTGCAGACACTTGAAACTTAAAGTGGATAAAACCAAAATGGTGACTGTATCAGGGGTGAAGAAAACCATATTTGATCGGCTCCACACCCAGTTAGAGAAGATTAACCAACAAATCAACCGTATGATTTTCTTTATGCTTTTTTTTTTGTCTTGTTTTCGCTTCTTGCAGCTTGTAAAACAAAAAAAAATCACCTCCACTTTTTTTCTAAGCCTTTTGTTAGCAAACTATAGAACCTGAAGGGCCTGAATACGGCTGGTCCTCGCCCTGTGACCAAAATTGAGCCCAAAATTCTGTGGCTAAGTGAGACGATTGTGAAGTGAGCTTTGTCCTCGTTTTATGACCTTTCCTTCCACCGTTGTTCAGTGAATTGCTGCAGTTGTTAAAGTAGTTATGCAGCTAAGTGAATCTGGCTTCCCCATTAACGTTGCTCGTCAGAAGGTCGCAAAAAGGAATCATATGACCCCGGGACACTGCAATCGTCATAAATATGAGTCATAATTTTGATCATGTGACCACGGGGATGCTGCAATGGTCATAAGTGAAAAGCCACTTTTTTCAGTTCTGTTGCAACTTCAAACAATCACTAAACAAGTATTGCACCTCAAGGATTACCTGTATCAAGCTTCAAATATCAAGCTAAGCTAGGAAATGGCTTGTTTGCTTTGAGCATTTCATGGGGGCCAAACTTAGCTACTGCGATTTGTAAGCCATGGCTTATTGAAGTGTGGCCAAATTCAATGGTAGCTTACTAGCAAACCTTATTTGAACATGAGAGAATTCAGCTATTTGTTTAAACGAACAGCTGAGTTCCTGCATGTTCAAATAAGGTTTGCTAGTATACTACCATATTTTTTGGACTATAGGACACACTTTTTTTGTCTCCCAAAAGGGGGCAAAAATGTCTGTGCGTCTTATAGACCGAATATTGCTGCCCACCCACCAGTGATTTTTTTGGCCTCCGCACGCCCTGTTTTGGGGGCTTTTTTCGGGCCATTCCGAGGCTTTTTTTTTTTTTTTTTTTGCCTCTTTTTTAGGCTTTTTTTTGCCCGTTTTTTGAGGCTTCTTGGGCCCAGTTTTTCAGAAAAAGTAGGCCAAAAAAAGCCTCAAAAATGGCTCCCAAAAGGCCTCAAAGCCAGCTCCAAAAAGCATTTTAAAAAGGACCCCAAAAAGCCTCGGAAACAGGGCAAAAAAAGACTGTAAAAGGGCCGAGGAAAGGGAGGCCAAAAACTTTTTTTTTGTTGTTTTCCTAAACTAAATTTAGGTGCATCTTATAGTCCGAAAAATATGGTACAATTGAATTTGGTCACACTTCCGTAAGGAAAAACTCAACAATAAGGAACAACTCAAAGTTGTTCCTCTAGAGTTTGAATCAACTATTTACGGCTAGTTTCAGTTGCAGACAGAAAGGAGAGAAAATACCTGGATGGGTGATTTTGGGCCAGGGCCTCTTTCTCATCCCAACCCACCTCATAAGATCGCTGTGGGGAAAATATTGTGTGGCAGGTATTAGGTGTGGTCACTATCTTTAAGTTAACCATGTTCTGGACTTGGGTGTCCTGTTTCCTACAAAGTACAACCAGTTCCTTAGTTCAATTTATCTCTGGTGGCTTATTGAACTGAATGTAGCCATTGTTGTGCATTCAAAAGTTTCCCTGACTTGACAATAGTTTCTTCTTCTTTTCAAGGAGAAGGTGATTCATTGTCGGTGACTCTTGAAGAACCTCAAAAATCCTTCCTTGAAGATCTTGCAAAGGAAGAAGGTAAGGACAATCATGCTTATAAGATGGACCTTTTTATGGGCAGGTTCCTCAGCTAGGAAACATCCTTACCCTAAAGGTAAAGGTTCCCCTCGCACATATGTGCTAGTCGTTCCCAACTCTAGGGGGCAGTGCGCATCTCCATTTCAAAGCCGAAGAGCCAGCGCTGTCTGAAGGCGTCTCCGTGGTCATGTGGCCGGCGTGACTCAATGCCAAAGGCGCACGGAACACTGTTCCCTTCCCACCAAAGGTGGTCCCTATTTTTCTACTTGCATTTTCTTTTACGTGCTTTCGAACTGCTAGGTTGGCAGAAGCTGGGACAAGTAACGGGAGCTCACCCCATTACGCGGCACTAGGGATTCGAACCGCTGAACTGCCGACCTTTCAATCGACAAGCTCGGCGTCTTAGCCACTGAACCACCACGTCCCCTTTTTATCCTTACCCTACTGCCCTTAAATAATTCTCAGCTTTTATAGCCGGAACACGGAATTCATCCTGGTTTGAAATTCTATAAACCAAACTCCAGAATTGCAGAAGTCTCATAACTACCAAGCTGGCTTAATGCCCAAATCGTTCATCTGAATCTGTTCCAAAAAGCATATTCAAATACCATCTAGAAGTGCCGCAAACAAATTCTTAACAAGCAAGAAGGCTCCACTAATTCTGATGTCTTAAGAAAACTGATTCTTAGAACTGTGTGTTTGTACCTACACACACACACACATTTATATATCTTATTTTTTTCTCATTAGTTCTGGAAGCAAAAGTTTCTCGCAAGCGTCCCAAAAATGAAATTGAGCCTAAAGAAGATTATGAAGAATGGAAACGACGAATCTTAGAAAATGCTGCAAAATCACAAAGAAACAGTGTGTGAGTGGAATTGTTCCTCTAGTGAGTGCAAACGTCAGGCTGGTCTGTTGACTATTGTCAGGCTGGAGAACTGGTCTTCTGGGAGAAAAAAAAACTTCGAAAAACTTGAATTCCTTGAATAGGCTGCCATGAGGCCTAGATAGACCTGCTTTTAAATGTGTGCAGCTCACTGATACTTCAGCAAAACGTGAGCCGTGTTTTTGGGTTGATACAACTGTAATTCAGATAATTTCATGATTTGGCTCTGAATTTGGGCAGCAAGATACTGCCATGTCCGTTATAGCACACACTTAATGCAGCAGTAAAATGAAATTTTACTCTTCTATAAGAGGCATAGATTAAGAATATATGTTAATCCAAGATGCCTGCTTTTATCTTCCCTTCTGTAATTGGAATCACCTAATCAACCATACAGAATACTTAATGTCCTATTAACTCTTTTTAAGATTGGTCCCTTTGATTATTTAATTTTTTTAACCATGACTTGTGTTAATTCCTCTCTGGCAGCATCAATAAACTTTTAATTTGTGCTACAGTCTTCTGTTTTATGGGTTTCATTCTATAAATCCAGATACCAGCTTCCAAACTATAGCTTTGTCGCCTCTGTAATAATACCCTAATCATAAATGAGCAAAGCAGGCAATTAGTTAACCATTTACCATATTTTTCAGAGTATAAGACGCACCTTAGTTTTTGGGGAGGAAAATAAGAAAAAAGCTGATTGGCAGGTGGATCAGCCTCCTGGAATATCCTCAATCAGCTGTTCCCAGAGGTGAATTTTAGCAACAGGTTCCTTGGTTGTGAGCTCTGTGCCTTGCTTTTTTTTTGGCTTTTTTTCCCTGCCTCTGAAACTTCTGAAACTCGGTTTCAGAAAAAAAACTTTTTTTTCTGCCTCTGAAAGCCTCCGAAACAGAGCTTCAGAAAAAAAGCTTCTGAAAAAAAGCTTCTGAAGCTGTTTCGGAGGCTTTTTTTTTTCTGAAGCTCTGTTTGGAGGCTTTTTTTCTGAAGCTTCGTTTCTGATGCTTTTTTCAGCCTCTGAAACCTCCCTTTGAGAAGCTGAGCGGGGCTACATTTGGAGTATAAGACACACCCAGATTTTCACCCTCTTTTTTGGGGGGGGAAAGGTGCGTCTTATACTCCGAAAAATACGGTAAGTATGACTGGCTGGGGAATTCTGGGAGTTGAAGTCCACATCTTAAAATGGCCACGGTTGAGAAACACGGATTTAGAGGGTGAAAGAAAAAAATGGGCATGTCAGCAAGACAAACTGAAGTCAAGACAAGGATTCTGCCAGTATCCCAGTGCGCCATCAGAATGTCCAGGCGGATCCGAGCATTTCCAAATCAGGTTGCAAGGATCTGATTGAATGTTTGAATCAATTCGGAAATTCAGCCCCAAGGAATATTTCTGTGACTGAGGATTTTTAAACAGTTTTCAATTCTGTTCTTAATCTTCCCACCTACTTACATTGTCAGCAAATAACCTCTGTTCTGTTGGAGACAACTAATCATTGTTGTTTTTATTTTCATCTCCCATTATCCACAAAACCCTAAACTGACTTCCTGATAGTGTCCAAAACAGTGGCAAATAATTATACAACTTGTCATTTTAAAAAAAGTTTAGGAAAGTTAAGCAAAAGAGAAGCCATAAGTGAGTGTATAAAAGGTAACTAATTTTATTTACTTTTCACATTTCTGTACTGCCCACCTCCCTCAAAAGGGGGACTCTAATCCCAATACAATGTCTTGGCAAGTGTTCTTAAAGCTACTGATCACTACCCAAAGTTCTACTTTCAAAGCAAAAATACCGAATTCAGAAAATAACTATCACAACCCCTGCAGAAGCTACCATTTTCTGCTTGAAGAAGTTCAACCTTCCAGCCTGGATTTGACATTCTCGAAACCCTAACATTCTTAAAAAGAAGACAACCTGTTTCCCCCAGCAGAAAAAAAGTCATTCCTAACCACTAATGTGTAATTACGGAAATGAAAGTCTAAGAGGTATAATTCAAGCAGTTTTCTTCCCCTCCTCTTGCAAGCAATAACATGTTTTCCCGAAAATAAGACCCTGTCTTATATTTTTTTGAACTCTGAAATAAGCGCTTGGCCTTATTGCCATGCGCTCAAAAGCCCAATTGGGCTTATTATCAGGGGATGTCTTATTTTGGGGGAAACAGGGTAGGTTGTAAGACAACCCATTTCAGTCAGACCTCCCAAGGTCTTAGGCTTGAGGGCAGCAACCTAAGCAGACGACTGGATGTACAATTGAGGAAGAGGAGGGAAGAAAACGTGAAACTGGTGGAAATGGACGGATCTCTAAAATCCCCCAATCTCAGTTATCTTCAGCAGCTGGAGACTCGGACAGGTTAGGGAATCTTCTCAATCTGTTGGCAGCTGTGACCACGTGGAAGTGCTTCTGTAAAAGAAAGGAACATGATGAAAAAGCGAGATTCTTGCAAGATTCCTCCAGAGTTGGAGTGTACCTTCACCATAACACTCAACGTTCGTACAGATTTTTGAGATCCCTGCCCATATGGCTCTGTTTTCACATAATACTACCTGGGACTTTAGAACAGTTGTCTACTCATCATGTTCAGTATCTGTGGAGATTCGCATTCATCCAGGTCATGGTTGTCTCAAATGTGCTTTTTCAAGAGGCAATTGGACTTCCTGGTTTTTCTCTGAAGACGTTTCGCTTCTCATCCAAGAAGCTTCTTCAGCTTCAGCTTCTTCAGAGCTGAAAAAGCTTCTTGGATGAGAAGCGAAACGTCTTCGAAGAAAAACCAGAAAGTCCAGTTGCCTCTTGAAAAAAGCACCTTTGGGACAATCATGTTCAGTATGTATCTTCTGCTAGATCAAGCTTATCCGTTGCTTAAAATTTAGCTTGCTGGTAGATAAAATAGTTTGGATATACAAAGTATTGTTGTAATTAAGAGAAAAAGAGGCATCGTTGTCATGTTCACATCTGACTTCTATACAGAAATATTGTCATAAATGAAGGCAAATATACATGTCCCAGGATAATGTTGCAGGATCTGAGTCGGTCACCAGGACCAACTGGTGGTCCTGGTCCTGGTTCTTCTGAGGTTCTGGTGACCGACTCAGATTGGAACCCGCAAAAATATTGTCATCCGTAGTAAACAGGCAACTGTTCTGACCCAGCTCCCCAAACATGACAAACCCTCTGTAGTTGAAGCAATGATTCCTCTATTAAGAGCGCAGCAGCCCCGGGAAAAAGCTTCGCTTTCACCTCACACTAACAAGTCCAGCTGGCCGGAAGATGAATAGTTATCTGCCACATCTATTCATCTCCGGCCCCTGCCTTTAATCCCCGGAGCTGAGGTGGGGCTTCGCTAGCAGTTGTGGCTCTTCCATCCCAAGGACCAGCTCATAGATTTCCACTGCTCTCCTCTGCCTTCTGCACAGCCGTGTGTCAGGCACTGGACCTAGCTGTTCCTCCACTTCCTCATCAGCCACCTCCAGACCTCGGGACTGTTGACTCTCCATTTGAGGGCTGACGGATGGCCCTGTTGTGGCCTGCCAGCAGCCTGCGCGAATCATAACTGATCCCGATGACGAGGCTGGTGTGGGGTTGTGCTAGCAGCCGGCGCAGCCAGTGCTCACGTCGGACAGCGAGGAGGCTGAAGAGGATGTGGTGCCAGAGGCAGAGACTCAGCCTGGGCCTTCAGAACCTCCAGAGGCTCCTTCAAGTGGAGAGAGCGAAGTGGAGGAGCCTCTCCTCAATGCTCGAGCACGCAGGGCTGCCAAAAGGCAGGAGTGGCTACTCAGGAGGAGGAGTAAGGTTTGAGGATAATTGGCCACTCCCTTAGCCTATTTAAGTCGCACGCAGTTAGTAATTTTCTTGCTGGAAATGTGTAATTATTACAGAGCATTTTTGAAGAGTGAGTGTCTTATCGTATCTTGTTTTCTGGGCTGGTTGTCAACTTTTGCCGGACTTTGTTTATTCTTGGTACGTTATAACTTTGATAAGGACCGTTGATGTGTGTCACAATCCTTGGGAATCCGGAGCTGGGGCAGAACAGGCCCAGGCTCCGCCTCTGTGTTTCTCTCTCTGCCAGCTCCATTCCCTCTTCCCCCTCGGAGCTCTCAGGTTGCCTTGATGCTGACCCCCAACTCCCACCCCTCCTCCTCCTCTGATTTGGTTGCTGGAGGGGCTGACAGTCCACAACAGCAACATGGAGCTCAGAAAAAAGGGGAGCGGTATAGCATTTACCTTCCACTTCTTCTGGGCCATATATCTCTGTAGAAGCATCTGAGACTTCAAGCGAACTTTCGATCTCTTCGCCTTGGCGGACAGGTTGGTCAACCACTCGTGTTTCAAGCAGTTGGCTGCACTTATTCTGCCACTGGAATGTCAGGACCAGAGAAAGGGGGGGGGAAAAAAGGATTTGTGAAGGGACAGGTTGCAATGCAGAACATGCCATTATAGACCTACAGGCAGTCCTCGACTTAACCACGGTTCATTTAAGTGACCAACGTAATAACGGCACTGATAAAAAGTGGACTCGTGGCTGTTTCTCACCCGATGGTCGCAGCCTCCCTGTGGTCATGTGATAGACATTCATACACTTGGCAACTGGCATGTATACAGAGGTGGGTTTCAGCAGGTTCTGACCAGTTCTGAAGAACCGGTAGCGGAAATTTTGAGTAATTCGGAGAACTGGTAAATACTACCTCTGACTGGCCCAGCCCCCATCTATTCTCTGACTCCCGAGTCCCAGCTGAGCATGAGGAAATGGGGATTTTACATTATCCTTCCCCTGTCCCGCCCACCAAGCCAAGCCACACCCACAGAACCAGTAGTAAAAAAATGTGAATCCCACCACTGCACGTATTTATAACTGTTGTAGTGTCCCAGGGTTATCTTTTGCAACCTCCTGACAAGCAAATTCAACGGGGATGCCAAGTTCGCTTAACAATCATGATACTAACTTAACAATTGCGAATACACTTAATAACTGCGGCAAGAACGGTGGTAAAACGGGGCAAAACGCTCTTTTAACAACTGTCTTGCTTAGCAACAGAAATGTTGGGCTCAATTGTGATCCTAAGCTGAGGACTTCCTGTACCCGCACAGGTTAGTCTGATCTGTACGTCTTAAGCCACGATTTATGGGATAAGCATGATGGATTGGGTGGAGGCAACTCAATCCATTCAATAACAAGGCTGGATAAGTGTGTAGGAGAAGAGACTGAGAGGCCTGGAATGAGAGCTGGGATAAGACACCATAGCAAGTTGTCACCTTTTTTCCTTTATTAGAAGTCTGGAAACGAAGTCTTTGGCCTCCTCGGACACCTGTTCAAATGCTTCTGCATCAAAATCCCAGTTGCAGTTGATTATGTAATTCATGGTCTCTGCGTCATTCTCCCCAAGGAAAGGCGACAAGCCACTGACCCTAAAAGAGAAAGGAAACATTGCTTGGAGATGCTTGAGCTGTTGCCCATAATCCACAGTATGGAAGCCGGAGCTCCAACTGCTTGGGAAAAGGGCCAAAATGCAAGAAAATGACTTAAGGTGAAGAGGTCTTCATGATGAGCTCATCACTTGATGACTATATTTTCTTGTCAAAGAAAGGGAAGTTTGCCAGCTTTCAAGGCCAGACAAGATCAGCTAAGGGCTGCCACTGTTGAGACAAGGGACAGCCGTACTCATCCTAAATAAAAATATACACGTTGACTGGGACAAAAACCATGATCTGCTACGAATCACATTCCCAAAAAAGTTAGTAGAATTGGAAGTTCCATACTGAATGGGCATCAGATAAGGGTCGACAGAATTTAGGAGGACTTGGACTTACACCGTTTGTGGGAACGTAACGATTCTAGGCTGATGACTTGCTTAACGCAGCCCCTCCCCACCTCTCCCTGCTCTTCTACAAACTTGGCCCATCGTGATCTGGTGGATTTTAAATACTCTGCGCAAAACCTAGCCACATGTGCTGCAATAAATGGCAATTCATGTATGGGCAGCATCCAGACATAGGCCAGATCTGAGCAGTCAAGAAGACAGGTTAAATTCTTCCCAGCCTTAAATACAAGAAATGTCCCCTTTATGTAGCTTATACTCATTCAGTCTTCTCCCAACTACTATGTCATAAAGTTATTGTGATCTGCCAGCGGCCAGTGGAGCTGGCAGCAGATTCGGACAGTGTTGGGGAGGATCATGGGCCAGTCCTGGAGTCTGGGGAAGGCTCTGATGAGGGCTCTGCGTCGGAGGCAGAGAGGGGGCCAGGGCCGTCTGACAGTTATCAGCTGCCTTCGGAGTCGGGTATCAATGGGGCAGAAGAACAGTTGGAGCCTGTTCCCAGCATGTGCATGCGCAGAGTTGCCAAACGAAGGGAATAGCTAAAGAATAAGGGTCGACTTGGGAGTAAGGCCACAGGTGGACAATGAATGGCCCCTCCCAGAGGGAATAAAAGAGGAGCGAAAGGGGAGGGGAGTTTGCAGGAGACAATTAGTTTGCCTAATTGGTTTGTGATTCTCCGAGACTCTTTGCCAAGTTTTGAAGATATCGGCCTGGCAGCTCTCCAAGCCAGATAAAGTCTGCGACTGTAAATTCTCCCTTGAAAGACTTTGCTGAAGGTGATTGAGAGGAATTCACTGTTTGTTTAATAAAAGGGGTTTTGTCGGGACCAGGATTCTGCTTCGTGCTTTTTGGGGAAGCCTAAATCAGAACAAAAGGAAACCAAAAGAACAACAACCTCTAAGATGTTCTATCCTGGTCTTCCCTACTGAGCAGTCGTTGAGAATGGTCCCCTTTTCCTTCCTTTGGAAAAAAAACAGGGTTTACTCACAGCATGTACGCAATGATGCCTACACTCCACATGTCCGTTGGGAATGACACAAAATCATAGTTGACGACTTCGGGAGCCAAAAATTCGGGCGTGCCAAAATTGACTTTCAGCTTCTCACGAGGCTTGTACCTTTAGCGAAGATGAGAAAGGGAGACAGACGGTTGGCGAGGATAGATAGATAATGAGTTTATAGCAGGGATAGAATAATGAGTTTATAGCGATAGAGGCATCGGGGCTCAAAGATATTGTGATCGCCGTCACGTTCTAGCAAGAAGGCCTTTTGAGTGAAAGCTCGGTCACCATGGCAATGGGTGGCATTTTAGTGAACTTCCAGATGGGTTCACAAAATATTTATAGTCTACAAGGGAGGAGATGCCGAAGGAATAAAGAAAACATCAACAAAGCATAAAGAGGAGGGGAGACTTACCTCCTTGCGAGTCCAAAATCAATTATTTTAATCTGGTTTCCACTGTGGCTCACACAGAGGATATTCTCAGGCTGCAAAAGAAGACAGGGGACAAGCTTAAAGCTTAATCTTTTAGAGTCCTTTTCCAGAATTCATGTATATTGGTAGTAGGTTCCAAACATACCTTCAGATCAAGGTGAAGGATGTACTGTTGATGCAGGTAGTAGATTCCTTCACAGATTTGTTTGGTAAACAAGATAGCATCCAACTCGGTAAGATTGTAGTTTTCATCTATAATCCGGTCAAATAACTCACCACCATCAACACTGGTGGAACAAGAAAAGGCAGCGTTGAACAAGGACAATTATGGAGGTGGACAACTACCTATGTCCCCTCTCTCCGCCGCCACCACCCAAAAAACCCTTGGAAGTAGCAACTCCTCCCTCCATGTCATACTTAGGCACTAACTTGTGATTTTTAATTGTGATAGGAGGACATCCATCCAAACACAATGGACGCCCATCACAAAGCTGTCAGAGCAACCACATTTAAGACGGCCCAATCCAGTCTATATTCTTTACTAGCTGGACGCCCATGCTTCGCTACGAAACTATGTGCTCGGGCTTGATAAATTGACACTTGCAGCCTGAAACTTGTAGAGTTACACATCTAGAATGTGTAACTGTAGCATCAGAGTGTGTTAATATAATGCAACTGGCAGTTGGAACAGAGAGGGAGGAGGAGTAGAATGTCCCAGCCTGCAGCATCCATCAGTATTCCATCAGGCTAGCATCTTGTCAGTGTGTGAGTGAGTTGAGGGGTGTTTGGAAACTCAAAAAGTATTTGCAGTGTGAGCAAGAAGGAGATAGGAAGGAGGCTGGGCGTGGCTTAGCTCAACTGTTTTCTTTCTTGAAGATCCCAGGATCTGTATTTTGATCTCACCCGAGTTGAATGGGTCTGTTTGCTCATTTTTTAAAATTCCTTTTCAAAATCATCCTACTTATATAATCTTATAATCTTGTCTCGGGTTAGGAAACGTTCTATCTTCCCAGCTACTTCCACCATAAGTGGCTCAGGAATCCCAGACTCTGAAAGATCTCAAAAATACTTCAAAGGTGTTTTGCAAACTCACTATTCCATGATTAAGGTGAGGTGGTTCTTGCTCTCAAAAGCGTCGTAGAGTTGAATTAGGTTCACATGACTTAACTGGTTCATTATATTTATCTCATTCTTCACTTCCTCCTGAAATGGGAGTAATGAAATATATCATTAACAATACCGGTAAGCAGGAAAATAGAAATCTGTGCTCCTAATTCAACACCTTTACCTGTGAAGATGGTTTTGATATCTAGCTGTCTAGTTCTGAAAGATCTTGCTTTGCAGAGAAAACACTGACCAGGGTGGATAAAAATCGATGTTTTTTTTTTTAATTAAACAATTGGATTGTTTTGATTTAAATCAGATTTTTTTTTTAATTTTTACCAAATTTATTTTAATAAAATGCTTTTGGAGTAAAAAAAATCTATCTAAAGATAGTTCTCTATTTAAGATACATTAATCATTTAGCTTATTCAGCATGAAATGGAGCTTAGTTAGGTAGCCTGAGGCTGTATATACCGTATTTTTCACAGTATAAGAAACCCCCCCCCAAAAAAGGGTGAAAATATGGGTGTGTCTTATACTCTGAATGTAGCCCCGCCCAGCTTCTCAAAGGGAGGTTTCAGAGGCTGAAAAAAGCATCAGAAACGAAGCTTCAGAAAAAAAGCCTCCAAACAGAGTTTCAGAGGCTTTTTTTCTGAAGCTGTTTTGGAGGCTTTCAGAGGCAGAAAAAAAAAAGTTTTTTTCTGAAACGGAGTTTCAAAAGTTTCAGAGGCAGAAAAAAAAGCAAAAAAAAAAAGCAAGGCACAGAGCTCACAACCAAGGAACCTGTTGCTAAAATTCACCTCTGGGAACAGCTGACTGGGGGTATTCCGGGAGGCCTATCCACCTGCCAATCAGCTTTTTTCTTATTTTCCTCCCCAAAAACTAAGGTGCGTCTTATTCTCCGAAAAATACGGTACTCTGCAATATTTACATTTTTGGTAAACTCATTCAATGAATCCAAGCTCTGCAAGCTGAGATAACATGCACTGCGTGGATGCATTCACACAATTTCGCAGCAGAGATGACAGTTGCCCTTTCAAAATTAGGATTTAAACCGAGTCGATTTAAATCAAGCCTTTTTTTTTACTAGCGATTTAAATCATGATACTTAAATCGTCATTTAAATCGACTCGATTTAAATCAAATCCACCTTGACCCTGACTGAAATAAAGAGGTCTCTTTTAATCCTGGTCTTTTGCTTGCTTGCTTTTTGTTTGTTTATTTTTTTTTTTTAAGAAGCTCTCCTCCTTACCCTTTCTTTTGCTAATTTCACCTTGATGATCTTGGCGGCCAAACAGAGTCCCGTGGACTTTTCTGTACATTTGTGGACTTGACCGAAACGCCCCCTGTTGAAAGATGGAGAACACAAAGCGATGAAACCCACAAGGAAAAAAAAAAACTGGGGAGTGGGGGCAACAACACACAGCCGACGCCTCCGGAGACCAACTATTCTTATCATCAATTAAAAATAACCTGGTACAAAGCGAACGGAATCGAGAGGTCAGGAGTCTAAAAGCTCTTCTTTCTCCCAGCTTAGGAAGGATTAAGCCTGATCTTTCCAGACAGTTGTTCGGTACTGCTTATGTTAAAATCTTACTCCCCCAGTTGTGTATTCTTTCATTGTGGAGCAAAATATGACAACCTGGAGACGGCCTGCGGTGGGTTCCGTAATTGTACAGTATATGCATTTGCGGGTTGTACTTGAGCAACGAATAACCCAAAAGAGGGAACGGATAGCTTAACATTAAAGATAAAGGACAAAGAAAATACAGAATATTTTTTAACCTGGGATTTCTTTTATCAATGGCTAAGATAATAACAGTAGAAATTAGAAGTTGGAAGAATACCATTATATACAAGTAAAGAATATTATTACTACTACGGTATCATTATGTATGTGTAAATTCTCAGACAATACACTATTTATTAAGCACTTATATATGTTAAAGAAAAACGTATAAATAAAATTATATTTAAAAAAAAGAAAGATATCCCCAAATATAGCCCTGAAAAGAAATATTTAGGCCACCTATGTATGCAAGTGGTTACTTTCCTAAGGTCAAAAATGTAAACCCAGTACCGGTAAATCCACCCAAGGAAGTGTGTGCTGAGATCGCCAAACAGAAATTTGTGACATTAATCTTCCATCCATTAGAAGCAAACTATGGCAGCACAGATGGCATGTCTCTCTTCTCCGGGCTACCCAAGAAAGTGTCATTAGATCAAAGCAAATGTGCCTCCTGAACTTGTCTTCCAGCATCAGGTTTCTACCAACCTTCCAGTATACGTTGGTGAGGTTGTTTTGCCAAGGAGGTTTCAACACGCAGCAAGATCTCTTCGGGTGTGGAATGGACAACTGCAGAGGCTTCATCTCAACCGCTATAACCTCATACCTCTGTTTCGAGGCTTCAGCGTGAGCAAGACTTTCGCCCAACTAATATGGGATGAGCTGGTTCAATATACATACAGTAGTGGCCAAAATTGTGGAAACCTTTTGGGAAAAGTGTGTTTTCTAAAACTAGCTAATAACACCACTTTTTTTTTTTTTTGGAGTAGTACCATAAAATTATATATCAATGGAAAGATCATTGAATCAAGAATGTAATGCAATAACTTTTATGAAGGATTTGCTATTAGAATAGCAGTAACAGTATAAAGAAGAAAAGTGAAACGCGTAGAAAAAACGAGATATACAAAAATGATCACCCTGTCAGTTAATAGTTGGGTAACCTTTAGCATGAATTATGGCCTTACAACGTCTTCCCATGGAGTGAACCAAGTCTTTCAGTTCTGCAGCTGTTATAATGTAAAACCAAGATTGAAGGATTGCTTCTATTAACTGGGTTTTATTGCTGGGTCACTTCTGACTAACAAGTTTCTTTAGTCGGCTCCATAGATTTTCAATTGGGTTAAGATCTGGGCCAGTGGTGAAATCCAAATTTTTTTACTACCGCTTCTGTGGGCGTGGCTTGGTGGGAGTGGCTTGGTAGGCATGGCAGGGGAAGGATACTGCAAAATCTCCATTCCCACCCCACTCTAGGGGAAGGATATTGCAAAATCCCCATTCCCACCCCACTCTGGGGCCAGCCAGAGTTGGTATTTGCTGCTTCTCTGAACTACTCAAAATTTCCACTTCCGGTTCTCCGAATTGCTCAAACTTTCCACTACCGGTTTTCCAGAACCTGTCAGAACCTTCTGGATTTCACGCCTGGTCTGGGCTATTCCCAGGCCATTCCAGCAGTGGAATATGATTATTTTGAAACTCCAAAAAAAAAAAAATGGCGCTATTAGCCATCAAACCTCAAAAATACACTTTTCCCAAAAGGTTTCCACAATTTTCGCCACTATTGTAGTTTAGTGGTGGAAAAACCGATTTTCAGATTTTGCACAATGCCTTGAGATTCCTACACTAACAAAAAAAAAGTTGCATTTGCTACGCAATAGTCCAGGGATGTCAAACTCGCGGCCTGCAGGGCAGATACATCACGTGCTGGCTCCGCCCCTGCCTGGTTTAGCAAAGGGGGGAGGAAATTCCCGATATGTCACGTGACACCACCATGATGACGCAAGTTTGACACCCCTGCAATAGCCTGTGTTAAGCCTAACCATGGCAAATCTAAGTAGCCCAGGTTAAGCTTAACCAGGTTTAGCATCTTAAATTGCTAGAACTTGCACTGGCTTGGTTAAGTATATTATTTAAGCGCTTCCTTTGAACTAATTCTTACGCTCTACGGATGTGGGTGCTGTGACCTTCACTGAACTAGCAAAAACAGTCCCTGCAAACTAACAATGTGAGGACAATACTGGATTTGTGACGGTCTTACAGCAGACTTTAAAAATAAACCACCCCTTCAAAATAACACTCATATTTATTTATGCAACTGGGGGAGTAAGAAATTAATTCCAAGGCATTAGTTGCTTCGTGATCGTGCTATCATGAAACTTACCCTCCCAGCACCTCATCGTGGCTTACAGTGTACGAAGCGGTTAACTCGGTTTGTTTGATGCTCACAATGTGATGCTCAAAAGGAGCTGGAGGAGGAGGACTGTCATCTGAAGAAGAAAGAGAGGAACATAGCTTTGATTTTTCTTGCAGCAGACAGTTGGACATCATCTTGACATCTTTCATTGGCCTCTTTCACTAGCCCTGATGATGTTACCTAGTTTGGGTAATGAAACTTCTACAAGAAAACAAGCAAGCACAGAGAGCACCGAGGACCCCTCATTTCAACCCTGAGCTACAAATATTCTTTCTCTCTTTCTCTTTCTCTTTCTCTTTCTCTTTCTTTTTCTTTCTTTCTTTCTTTCTTTCTTTCTTTCTTTCTTTCTTTCTTTCTTTCTTCTTTCTTTCTTTCTTTCTCTCTCTCTCTCTCTCAGAATACCATCACTCTGCTAATAATTCCTTCATCACTCTCAAACTATTTACTAAGTCTGCACTACTATTAATCTTCTCATCGTTCCCACCACCCATCTCCTTCCACTTATGACTGTATGACTGTAATTTTGTTGTTTGTATCCTTACGATCTATATCGATATTGTTTCCTGATTGCTTATTTGTAACCTATGACTATCATTAAGTGTTGTACCTTATGATTCTTGATGAACGTATATTTTCTTTTATGTACACGGAGAGCGTATGCACCAAAGACAAATTCCTTGTGTGTCCAATCACACTTGGCCAATAAAAGATTCTATTCTATTCTATTCTTTCTCTCTCTCTCTTCCTCCCTCCTTCCCTCTGTTCCTTCCTTCCTTCCTTCCACTTTGGTACTAGCCCTGATGATGTTGCATAGTTAGGTTAATGAAACCTCTGCAAGAAAACGAGGAGGCTCAGAGAGCACCAAGGACCCCTCATTTCAACCCTGAGCTACAAAAATTCTTTTATTGGTGCCTCTTTCTTTCTCCAGATGGAGAGATATAAAGTAAGTAGACCAGAGACTACTTTTTCCCTTGTGCTAATCAAGCTATACTGAAAACGAAAAAGAAAGTAAAGCAGGCTGTTTGCTGTTTGCTGCAACAGGCAAAATTGCTCAGAGGCAGAGGCAGATTTCTTTTTCTTCTTTTCCTCACCAAAAAAGGTAGGTGCATCTTATACTCTGGTGCGTCTTATAGTCCAAAAAATATGGTAGTTCTAGTATATATTGAAACCATCCTAGCTGAAAACTTTGTTTCATGTTTTTTTCTTCTGGGGCCTGCTATCATCCATAGGACTTATTGAATCTCATAGATCAATAGGCTATTTTTTTTTTTTTATTATTCTCGCAAACTGATCCAGAAATGTTTACTTACCAATGACCATCTCTTCTGCTTTGGTGGCTCCTACAAATGGAGTCACCTCGGCAACTTTCTCTGCTCCCTGTCTGGATCTGCTTTCTCGTCTCACTAAAGAAACCCTCCGTGATTCCAGAGTTTCTGGCTTGACGTCTTTGATGGTCTTTGCCATCTCCTTGGGACTTTTCCCGGAAGCTCCCAGATCTTCACCAAAGTCTTTTGGGGTGGAAGTTGGACATGGGAGAGTCTTGCGTTGACTTTCTCCTTCGTCTTCAGCCTTTGGAAGTGGTGCTGGTGAAGGAAGGCCTGACAGTTTAGGAATCTGCTCGCTCCTCTTATGGGGAGAATGGACTCCTTTCAGTTCTTGTGTGGGCTCAGTCCTGCTGTCGTTCGAGGACTCCTTAGCTTTAGGAGGCTCCTGCAAATGCTTACTTCCTTCACCTACTGGCTGCAGAGAGAACGGAGCCAACCCACCAGCATGTCTGCCTGCAGAGCTACCAACACTTCCTTCTTTGCTTCTCAAAGTCTTGTCTGGAACATCGTTCATCTGTGCAACGATTGAAGGCCTGCAAAGAGATTGAGTTTAGATCTTTTCTTGTAGCTTTTAAAATTCATTTAATCAAGTTTTTACCCAGTTGCTTCGGGAAGGCATGGACTCAGGAAGAGCTTTTTTTCACTTGGCAGGCTTAAGAAGTGTCATGCGTCACTCACCCTCATTCTCTATACTGCCCAAGGCTAGTTTAAGTGATTATGGGATTTTTGTTGCAACCTCTGGAGTACACCGGGAGTGGTGCGGCGGCCTAGAGGTGGAGCTCTCACCTCACAATCAGGAGGCCGTGAGTTCGATCCTAGATAGAGGCAGATATTTCTCTCTCTGGGCACAATGAGAATATATCTGCTGAATATAACTCTGCATTGGTGACAGGAAGGGCATCCGGCCAGTAAACACTCAGCTCCATTCAGTTGCTCAGACTTCACTCCGCAAGGGATTATGGGATCATTAAATGATGATCTGGAGTACACCGAGTTGAGGAAGGCCAACAGAGATCATATAGTGAAAGCTGTCTTTGACCGTCTCCCAGATGTGCTCGTGGATATGGACATGATGATAAAATAGCTCCATGATCCTTTTCATGGTACACTGACTGCTCTAACTGCAGCAGCTCTCCAATCCCTTAAGCCAGGGGTGGGCTTCAAAAATTTTAGCAAGGGGTTCTCTGCCCAGTTGGTGGGTGGCCGTGGCCATGGTGGGCATGGCTTAGTTGGCCTCCTGTACCATGGGGGGGGCATTTTTGCCCTCCCCACTCTGGAGGCTTTCCTTGAGCCTCTGGGAGGGCAAAAGCGGCCTCCTCAGGCTCCAGAAGCCCTCTGGAGGCCGCAAACGGCCTGTTTCCTGCCTTACTGAACTTCTGGTAGCCCATTTTTCACCCTCCCCGAGCCTCGGTGTGCACCCTGCACTTACCTGCATCCAAAATGAGCCGCATGGGGACTCCTGGGAGGGGCGGGGTGGGCGGGGCCAGCCAGAAGTGGGATTTGAGGGTTCTCCGAACTGCACAGAATTTTAGCTAGAGGTTTTATCAAACCCCCAGCAGCCCACCCCTGCCTTAAGCCAGGGTCGTCCAACTATGGCAATTCTGGACTTCAACTCCCAGAATTCCCCAGCTGAAAAACCAGTGAGTGGAGCCATAAACAACAAATATGAGTAATACCCTCTTTTCTTTTGACCACTTCTTCTTTACCAAGCAGCACACCAGTGGGGAGTAAACCGCTTAGCAATCACCAAAGATCCGAAGTGATCTCTAATGTATAAATATTGAAATCAGAGCTGTTGCAAATTGTTAGAATCTCTCTTCTCTGAACCTTGCTATGCTTCCCTGGGAAGAGAATATTAAACAGACTTAATTGGATGGGGTGTTCCATAGCACCTAAAGTCTGTTTAATTCTGTACTTTCTTCCCCTTGGAGAAAAAAAAAAAACACTACAGTATTTGCAAAATAGAGATGGACTTTTGCAAGACGTTTAATTCAAATGCATTGGGTTTTTGTGTCTCTTAACGCCCCCTAGTGGACATTATTTCTGCATCAAAGGTAATCGGTTGAGCTAGTGTTTTATTGTTGAGCTAGACTTTTATTCAGTCAAGATCATATTTGGAGCTATCCCCAAAGTCAATAATTTTTGCACACTTCTGTCACCTTTGCACGTTCACAAAGGATAGCCTGGACAACCGCTCACCTCAGGATAAATCTTATCAGATCTCAGATCTTGTTGAGACTTCACCAGTTTCTCCCTTTGAGTTTTCAACTCCATTCTTGAAACCACTTTGGAAACATGAATTAGAACCATAAAAGGTTTCCCCTCCCTATCTACAATTATTCTTTTTTCTAAAGATTGTATTATCTTTGTATTTCCACTTGGGCAGCTTTGCAGAATCCTGCTTTTTAACAGCAATTCTGTTTTAAGGTCGAAAAGACGATACTGCTGTATTAAACTATAACTAAAATATATTGCAAAGTAGCACTGTTGTATTGTAAGGTGCTAACTTGACAAGCACAGGGGATGCTGTGTGCTGTAAAGTATTTGTCAGGATACAGAAGGCACAGATACATTCCCTTGTCAATAAGATTGTTCAGAAAGTTTCAGTGAAGGAAATACTTAACGATAAATCTGGATCCAAAGGGATACTTGGAATTTTATTGTACTGTCTTCCTCGGGACTGCTGATTCACATGATATCATGAGATGGAACTAATTTAAAATGTACCCATGGAATCATAGAATTTTAGAGTCAGAAGGGACCACAGAATCATCTAGTGGTGGCACAGTGGTTAGAATGCAGTATTGCAGGCTAACTCTGCCCACCGCCAGGAGTTCGATCCTGACCAGCTTAAAGTGGACTCAGCCTTCCATCCTTCCAAAGTCACTAAAATGAGGACCCACTGCTGACTGCGTAAACTGCTTAGAGAGGGTTTTAAAACAGTGTGAAGCTGTATATAAGTCTACGTGCTAGTGCTATAAACCCTCTGCAAAATACAGGAAAACCCATTTTTAATCATCCTTAAGAGATTATTCAATTGCTGCTTCTTAAAGACCTCTAGAAACAGAGACCCTACAACATTTGTAGGTAGAGGTACAACTTGGTCCTCGGAAGTTTTTCCTTGTATTCAATAAAATAATTTCTATTTACTCAGCATCCAGTTAACTTCCTAACAATTGCTACCACCTGGGAAAACAAATTCTGGTTCCTAGCTTATCTAGCTTTAAACCAGCTTTCCTTCAAAGGAAAACTATCCATGGAGATTGCACATCTATAGACAGTGGACCACCGAAGGCTGGTCATGCCAAAGTGCCCATAAAACCTACTGCTTTTAAGTTGCCCCTGTCAGTTTGCCAGAAATATCATGGTGGGGATTCCGGAAAGCATGAAGCTGGGTGAGATGCACCTCTGTTCTATTGCAATCTTCTTTCTCAGAATCCAAGAGTAGAACATCAGGAACTACCAATTACCTTGTCCTTATAACTTCACCGCCAGACTTCGAGGTAGAAGACACAGCTTCCCCGGCAGGAGGGTCAAGTCCACTTTTTTCTCCACCCTTCCGTTTTGGAGTCACCTGTTTCTGGGGAGATTTTTCTTCATCCATATTTTGGGTCTCCTTTGGATTGCTGCCACTCGAGCAGAAAGGACCGTCCTTCTGGACAAGGTCCCTGTTCCCAGTTTCTTTTTGTCTGGGGCAATCCTTGGAGCCATTCGCCCATCCCAAAGGCTCTGTTGGTTCAAGCTGGGCCATCTTCTCTGCAGCACATGGTCTGGAGTCCTCCTTGGAAAGGACCGCGCTGGACAAGTTTACCTTTTCACGTGTTCCGTGTTGCTCATCCAACTTGGTCCCCGTTTTGTTTTCTATAAAAATATTTTCACAGGAATAAGATAACGCTGGAGAACATGGACGGAGAACATCCACATTGCAAAAACAACTGCAAGAGGTTAAAACTGTGGGTGTGTAAGCTTTTGACTCTCCTCCTCTCCTTTTATTGTTTCTTCACATTTCTGAGATGTGCCCATCACTGACCAGAGCCTCTGAAAGAATTAATCTCTTACTTGTGGCTTCCCCCAAGAACTCAACTTTTACTCCCATCACTGCCACCCAGTCCAACTGCAAAGGCCAACCTGGGTCTTGCACTGGCATCAAGACTCGAGTCTTTGGAGAAAGGCGGCATACAAGTTGAACAAATAAATAAATCAACATCAATAGAAGATAGGCTTAAGATAACAGAAGGATCTTGACAGACTTGAACATTGGGCGCTATCTAACAAAATGAAATTCAATAGGGAAAAAAGTAAGATTCTATTTAGGCAAGAAAACCAAAATGCACAGGTACAGTATATGTGGTACCTTGCTCAATAATATTAACTGTGAGAAGAATCTTGGAGTCCTAGTGGACAACCTTTTTAACTTTTTTAAAGCATTTTTTACTACTGGTTCTGCGCATGGGGTACAAATAAGCAATCAAATCATATTAGGAAACAGTCAATATACAGTCAACCTGTCACATGAATCCACATTGTGATTGGGTATTGCTTGATCTGTGAATAGAATAATTATATCAATATGGGTTTAGAATGCGGGCTGTTGAGTGAACCCAAATACTGTACGTACAGTGTACAATTTTATGAAACAATTTTAAATCAAAGATAGGCAACCTGGAGCTTTCCAGAGGATTGGACATCAACGTCCATAAACCCCAACTAGTAGGGTCAATAAGAAATTGGATTATTTAATTAATTAATTTACTAATTAATTAGGATGTTAGTAATCTGAAGCATTTTGGAGATCACCAGGTTGCCTTCTCTGGCCTTAAACAGTCCTATTAATTTAATTAATTTAATTAATTAATTAATTATCACACATTAAAGATTCTGCCCCAACATTATTCAACAGAATGTATTTGTAAAATACCTTCCAAAGAATTCTTGCTTTCTGTCTGTATGCCTTTCTTGGGAGGTGCATGCTTTCCTTTTGAACCCTTGTCTTCTGGCTTATCTTTAGTCTAGAAAAGTTAAGAAAGAAAAAAAAAACACCAGAAGGTCAATTGTACCCATTTCTTGCAAAAATGAAAAAAACAGGAGTGAATTTTTTCCCTTCCGGTTCTGTGGGCGTGGCTTGATGGGTGTGGCAGGGGAAGGATACTGCAAAATCCCCATTCCCTCCCCACTCCTGGGGGAAGGATATTGCAAAATCACCATTCCCTCCCCACTCCTGGGGCCAGCCAGAGGTGGTATTTTCTGGTTCTCCGAACTGCTCAAAATTTTCGCTACCGGTTCTCCAGAACCTGTCAGAACCTTCTGGATTTCACTCCTGGAAAAAATGTTTATTGCTTTCAGTGTGGATAGCACAGGAAATCAAAGAAAGTGAAAGTTAGAGTATTCCACTATTTCCAGCTACTGTTTCTTCTTGCTGGTTTGCAGACATAGGGGAGAGGTTGATGGTTGAGTAGGTAGATTGAATTATGGAAATCAAGAGGTGCTGAACATCTCTTCAACAATGTGAAAGTGAAAGAATTAACATCCATATCTCTAGTTTCTTCCATTCCTCACCCTTGCTCACCTAGGATAATCTGTCCCAGACACACCAATCAATGGTTCCAATAAGGGTTGCATCCTGTATTGTGAGACATCCTGAATATCTATGATGGGAAACTCATTTCAGAGCTCAAGAAATTACAACATTGTCCCAAACCTGATTGGTGGAACTTCCATTCCAGAAGCCCTTGTGATGAACCTACTTAGATTAGCAACGTACTTGTCCTTAACCATGTCTTAGGCCCTAGATCCACAATAGGAGACATTCCATTCTCATGTTCATTAGCTTATTCTGAGGAATCACCTTGCTAAGAATTAAGCTACTGGTTTATGGGACGTTGTGGCTGCGTGCTTCATGAGTTTAGTTTGCTTGCTCCTCTTACTTACCACTCCTGCTACTACGAGTTGGACTTTGATGCTTACAATCCATAAAATTCATTGCTAATCAGCATTTCCCTAAACCCCTCAATTCAACCATTCCACCAGCTATTTCAAAATAAGATGATTTAACTCTCAGAAAACAGCACACACTGTTTCAATGCTTATTTGATGTTTATTTACTTCATTGGACTCCACTTGAGCAAGAAGGGATATTCTCGGGAGACTCTGGGTTGTTTACCCATTCAAATTTGGTATCTTCGCTTATTTGGCTCCAGCTTATCTATGCTTTTCTGAGTGATGAGAGATCTATCACACCATGTGGTGGAACGAGACATGTCTCATGGAACCTTTCTGAAGCTTTTCTCCATCAACTGATAAAAGCCCACATTCAAAACAAGGCCCCTCATGGCAAACCTCAGATCTGTAATCCCGTTGGTTTACTTCACTTAGGTTTTTTTTTTTCCTCTTTCAAAAAGCGAACAAGCTAAGGCGAAATAATGCTCTGGCTGGATATAGTTTGTCTGAGGAATCTACATGTCAGCCCTGAAGCTGACCTGACGGGCGCCATTTTGAAGCTTCAGTGTTGCCACACTAGAGCTGAGGGATAGGGGAGTGGGGAATAGAGATAGCTGGGGTTTTGTAGCCAAAACAAAATACTTTCTCCTGGGAACCAAGGACATTCCCACAGGTGGTCGGAGAGAGGAGGAGTAATGTTACTCAGCAACCGGATGGCACCTCAATTGGACCATGTGACTGATTGTTTGGGGAAAGGGAAAAAAACCTTTTAATTAGGTGAAAACTGAGGGAACCTTCAGAGATGGTTTTCACCAGAACTGTGCCAATATGATAGATCCAATAAAACTATTCTTTGAGGAATCCACCTGCCTCGGAGTTTTGTTTGCTATGGATGTACTACTTGGAACCCTGACACTACAATCCTCTGCAGAACCCTCCTCAAAAGGACCTTAGGAAATGACGGAATGAGGATGGACTATCTCTTCTATGGGAAGATATTATAGGGAACAAGAGTCTCAGGCATTATTTTATTTATTTATTTGCTTATTCAATTTCTGAATGGTCCTTGGTGCTCTCTGAACATGGTTGTTTTCCTTCAGACATTTCCATCTTTGAGTTTCTGAACATTTCTCCCAAACATTTCACCATCTTGTCAATAGCATTGACGTCTGTCTCCATCTTCTCGATTTTTTCCTGGTATTTGGAAGCATCACGATGGGTTGCTTTCATCAGGTTCAAAATCTCAGTGTACGAATTTTGAGTTTCTTCACTGCGAGGAATTCCACAGATTGGGTCAACACAAGGTTGTGAAATGCTTAGCTGGTGGAGGCCTTTTCCCAAGTCATCAAACCAGTGGTGAAATCCAAATTTTTTTACTACCGGTTCTGTGGGCGTGGCTTGGTGGGCATGGTGGGCATGGCAGGGGAAGGATACTGCAAAATCTTCATTCCCTCCCCACTCCTGGGGGAAAGATATTGCAAAATCTCCATTCCCACCTCACTCTGGGGCCAGCCAGAGGTGGCATTTGCCCGTTCTCCAAACTACTCAAAATTTCCGCTACCGGTTCTCTGAACTGCTCAAAATTTCTGCTACTGGTTCTCCAGAACCTGTCAGAACCTGCTGGATTTCATCCCTGCATCAATCTCTTCATTAACTTTCTGGAGTTTTTTGGTCATGTCTCCTTGGAAATGCAACAGCTTGTCCACCTTTTCATTGAGAAGGTTGAGTTTTGTCATGGTATCCATGGTGTTTACACAGGTGCCTTTCGTAACCTGAAGCCTATTTATAAATGCTTCTTGGGACCCTTTCAGACATTCTGAGGAGAAGAGATTAAACGGGCAGGCGCTTTACTTGCTGGAATTAAAGGGCAGCGCTTGGAAATTATATCGGCCTTTGGAATGAAACGAAAATTCTAGAACCTGCTAAGAGCATGTCATCTATTAGCTGCCTATGTAACCCACTCTTGTTTCGCATTATCTGTTTTCTTCTTGCATGTATATGATGATGATGATTACAAGTTGGCAGTCCGGTTTAAAGAGTCCCTCCCCAGCAGCCTTCCTGCCGTCACAAAACCATTTAAAATTCTTCCCTTGAGAGGCTGTTGATAACCAAGCATCTTAAGAATTGGCAGCAGCTGCATAGCTGAGATTCGCCTCGAGAAGAGGAAAGTTGGAATTTTGTACGGGGGTTTTCTGATTTTCTGCAAGAAAACAGCTTATAAAGTGATTCTTTTCGAAGGAAGGGGTGGAGGGAAAAACTGAATGGGGAATTAAAGCAAGGTTAAACTCTCTGACCCAATAAAAACAGGGGGTTGTTGTCAAATATAAAATGTACACATGTTGGCCAACACGCATACTGGCCATGCTTAAAATTGGCCGGCAGTCAGGATGTTAAAAATAGGACATTAACGACAATGATACAAAGCATGCATCCCTCGCCAGCGTGCCTTTCAAAGCAGAAACAACTCGAGTCAAATTCTTTCGGCTGTGCCAAGAGAGTCCTCTGGCCTTTTTTTTTTTTTTTGGTAAAGAAATGGCAGATCAAAATTGTTTTTATGACTAATAGCAAAATCATTAGAGTTACAGGCTACCTCCCCCCCCACACACACACACACAAACCTTCTTCTGTTCAAATTTGTATTTTTACACCAGGGATCCTTTAGTGTGATTTAACATGAATTGCATTCCCTAAGATGATGCAAAGTTTGGCCTACTTTTTCTATATTCACACAAATAGAATAGAATAGAATAGAATAGAATAGAATAGAATAGAATAGAATAGAATAGAATAGAATAGAATAGAATAGAATAGAATTCTTTATTGGCCAAGTGTGATTGGACACACAAGGAATTTGTCTTCGATGCATAAGCTCTCAGTGTATATAAAAAGACAAGATACACTCCTCAACAATCATAAGGTACAACACTTAATGACAGTCATAGGATACTAATAAGCAATCAAATCATACTAGGAAACAATAAAAGTAATATAAGTTGTAAAGATACATGGATATAACCATAAGTGGGAAGAGACAGGTAATAGTAAGGATGAGAAGATGAATAGTAATACAGTCTTAGTAGTTAATTTGACAGTGTTGTGGGAATTAGTTGTTTAGTTGAGTGATGGCATTCGGGAAATATGAATGTATGGAGGCTGTATGAAGGCTACTGCAAGGATTGTTTGAATGGGTATCTTTTTTCCCACAATGTCCAGGTTTTTACAGGGTGTGGAGATTAAGGCCCATGGATTCCACAAGCAAGATCAATTGTTTGTTATTCTTTGGTCAGTTGAATGAATAAATGCCACCCAGAAGAGCCCCTTTCCTTCGCCATCCAAAGCCTTTCGTCCTTTGTCCTCACCTGAGGTCCCATTCCGGAACCTGTATTTCAACCTCCAGGGAAGATAGTCCAGATTATAATTGAAGTCACAAGTCTCACTTCAACCTCTGAATCAACAGTCCAATCTGTATTAGGTTTCTAGCATCTTTTATAGGAGAGAGATTGGCATTTTAGTAACTGTTACGTTGATTAATTCATGGGTCCCTCTGGACACTTTCAGGAAGCAGAGTGGGATTAAATAAATACAGGTAGTGAAGCAGGTCCCCAACTCTGTGTTGTTGTCTCTTTGTGTAATGATATGGGACAATGACCTTGGGAGATAGAGGAGAGAGAACTACAAACTGGACAACCTGTATGTAAAAGATATCTCATCCCACAGAAGAAGGTAAGGCGTGGGAAACATTTTAGAAGGAACCCTCCCAAATGACAGGTACTGGGAGTTGTGATCCAACAAGGTTTTACAGAGTTGGAAGGGACCTTGTAGATCATCTAATCCAACCCCCTGCCCAAGCAGAATGCCAAGCATTCTGACAAATGGCAGTCCAGTCTCTTCGGTGATGAAGCTCCCACAACTTCTGAAGGCAACCTCTGTCCCATGGGTTGATTGCTCTCACTGTCAGAAAATTTCTCCTTAGTTCCAGATTGAAACTCTCCTTGATCAATTTCCACCCATTATTCCTTGTCTGGCATTCGGGTGCTTTGGAAAATAGCTTGACCCACTCCTCTCTGTGGCA